CTGCTAAGGCCTCACTTTCCTCCCAGTTGATCAATAGTTGATCAATACTGCCCTCTCCTCCTGCTAAGGCCTCACTTTCCCCCAGTTGATCAATACTGCCCTCTCCTCCTGCTAAGGCCTCACTTTCCCCCAGTTGATCAATGCTGCCCTCTCCTCCTGCTAAGGCCTCACTTTCCCCCAGTTGATCAATACTGCCCTCTCCTCCTTGCTAAGGGCCTCCCTTCCCCCAGTTGGATCAATACTGCCCTCTCCTCCTGCTAAGGCCTCACTTTCCCCCAGTTGATCAATACTGCCCTCTCCTCCTGCTAAGGCCTCACTTTCCCCCAGTTGATCAATACTGCCCTCTCCTCCTGCTAAGGCCTCACTTTCCTCCCAGTTGATCAATACTGCCCTCTCCTCCTGCTAAGGCCTCACTTTCCCCCAGTTGATCAATACTGCCCTCTCCTCCTGCTAAGGCCTCACTTTCCCCAGTTGATCAATACTGCCCTCTCCTCCTGCTAAGGCCTCACTTTCCCCCAGTTGATCAATACTGCCCTCTCCTCTGCTAAGGCCTCACTTTCCCCAGTTGATCAATACTGCCCTATCCTGCTAAGGCCTCACTTTCCTCCAGTTGATCAATACTGCCCTCTCTCCTGCTAAGGCCTCACTTTCCTCCAGTTGATCAATACTGCCCTCGCCTCCTGCTAAGGCCTCACTTTCCCCCAGTTGATCAATACTGCCCTCGCCTCCTGCTAAGGCCTCACTTTCCCCCAGTTGATCAATACTGCCCTCTCCTCCTGCTAAGGCCTCACTTTCCCCCAGTTGATCAATACTGCCCTCTCCTCCTGCTAAGGCCTCACTTTCCCCCAGTTGATCAATACTGCCCTCTCCTCCTGCTAAGGCCTCACTTTCCCCCAGTTGATCAATACTGCCCTCTCCTCCTGCTAAGGCCTCACTTTCCCCCAGTTGATCAATACTGCCCTCTCCTCCTGCTAAGGCCTCACTTTCCCCAGTTGATCAATACTGCCCTCTCCTCCTGCTAAGGCCTCACTTTCCTCCAGTTGATCAATACTGCCCTCTCCTCCTGCTAAGGCCTCACTTTCCCCCAGTTGATCAATACTGCCCTCTCCTCCTGCTAAGGCCTCACTTTCCCCCAGTTGATCAATACTGCCCTCTCCTCCTGCTAAGGCCTCACTTTCCCCAGTTGATCAATACTGCCCTCTCCTCCTGCTAAGGCCTCACTTTCCCCCAGTTGATCAATACTGCCCTCTCCTCCTGCTAAGGCCTCACTTTCCCCAGTTGATCAATACTGCCCTCTCCTCCTGCTAAGGCCTCACTTTCCCCCAGTTGATCAATACTGCCCTCTCCTCCTGCTAAGGCCTCACTTTCCCCCAGTTGATCAATACTGCCCTCTCCTCCTGCTAAGGCCTCACTTTCCCCCAGTTGATCAATACTGCCCTCTCCTCCTGCTAAGGCCTCACTTTCCCCCAGTTGATCAATACTGCCCTCTCCTCCTGCTAAGGCCTCACTTTCCTCCAGTTGATCAATACTGCCCTCTCCTCCTGCTAAGGCCTCACTTTCCCCCAGTTGATCAATACTGCCCTCTCCTCCTGCTAAGGCCTCACTTTCCCCCAGTGATCAATACTGCCCTCTCCTCCTGCTAAGGCCTCACTTTCCCCCAGTTGATCAATACTGCCCTCTCCTCCTGCTAAGGCCTCACTTTCCCCCAGTTGATCAATACTGCCCTCTCCTCCTGCTAAGGCCTCACTTTCCTCCAGTTGATCAATACTGCCCTCTCCTCCTGCTAAGGCCTCACTTTCCTCCCAGTTGATCAATACTGCCCTCTCCTCCTGCTAAGGCCTCACTTTTCCTCCAGTTGATCAATACTGCCCTCTCCTCCTGCTAAGGCCCTCACTTTCCCCCAGTTGATCAATACTGCCCTCTCCTCCTGCTAAGGCCTCACTTTCCCCCGTTGATCAATACTGCCCTCTCCTCTGCTAAGGCCTCACTTTCCCCCAGTTGATCAATACTGCCCTCTCCTCCTGCTAAGGCCTCAACTTTCCCCCAGTTGATCAATACTGCCCTCTCCTCCTGCTAAGGCCTCCCTCTTCCCTCCAGTTTGATCAATGCTCCCTCTTCCCCAGTTGATCAATACTGCCCTCTCCTCCTGCTAAGGCCTCACTTTCCCCCCAGTTGATCAATACTGCCCTCTCCTCCTGCTAAGGCCTCACTTTCCCCCAGTTGATCAATACTGCCCTCTCCTCCTGCTAAGGCCTCACTTTCCCCCAGTTGATCAATACTGCCCTCTCCTCCTGCTAAGGCCTCACTTTCCCCCAGTGATCAATACTGCCCTCTCCTCCTGCTAAGGCCTCACTTTCCTCCAGTTGATCAATACTGCCCTCTCCTCCTGCTAAGGCCTCACTTTCCTCCCAGTGATCAATACTGCCCTCTCCTCCTGCTAAGGCCTCACCTTTCCCCAGTTGATCAATACTGCCCTCTCCTCCTGCTAAGGCCTCACTTTCCCCCAGTTGATCAATACTGCCCTCTCCTCCTGCTAAGGCCTCACTTTTCCCCCAGTTGATCAATACTGCCCTCTCCTCCTGCTAAGGCCTCACTTTCCCCCAGTTGATCAATACTGCCCTCTCCTCCTGCTAAGGCCTCACTTTCCCCCAGTTGATCAATACTGCCCTCTCCTCCTGCTAAGGCCTCACTTTTCCCCCAGTTGATCAATACTGCCCTCTCCTCCTGCTAAGGCCTCACTTTTCCCCCAGTTGATCAATACTGCCCTCTCCTCCTGCTAAGGCCTCACTTTCCCCCAGTTGATCAATACTGCCCTCTCCTCCTGCTAAGGCCTCACTTTCCCCCAGTTGATCAATACTGCCCTCTCCTCCTGCTAAGGCCTCACTTTCCTCCAGTTGATCAATACTGCCCTCTCCTCCTGCTAAGGCCTCACTTTCCCCCAGTTGATCAATACTGCCCTCTCCTCCTGCTAAGGCCTCACTTTCCCCCAGTTGATCAATACTGCCCTCTCCTCCTGCTAAGGCCTCACTTTCCCCCAGTTGATCAATACTGCCCTCTCCTCCTGCTAAGGCCCTCACTTTCCTCCAGTTGATCAATACTGCCCTCTCCTCCTGCTAAGGCCTCACTTTCCCCCAGTTGATCAATACTGCCCTCTCCTCCTGCTAAGGCCTCACTTTCCCCAGTTGATCAATACTGCCCTCTCCTCCTGCTAAGGCCTCACTTTCCCCCAGTTGATCAATACTGCCCTCTCCTCCTGCTAAGGCCTCACGTTCCTCCAGTTGATCAATACTGCCCTCTCCTCCTGCTAAGGCCTCACTTTCCCCCAGTTGATCAATACTGCCCTCTCCTCCTGCTAAGGCCTCACTTTTCCCCCAGTTGATCAATACTGCCCTCTCCTCCTGCTAAGGCCTCACTTTCCTCCAGTTGATCAATACTGCCCTCTCCTCCTGCTAAGGCCTCACTTTCCCCCAGTTGATCAATACTGCCCTCTCCTCCTGCTAAGGCCTCACTTTCCCCCAGTTGACTCGAGCAGATGAGATTTTGCAAAAATTGCTCACAGTTTCAGTTAAAACATTGATGTCATCTTGTTTTTTAACAAAGACCATTATGTCATCCGCATATGCAGACAATTTAAAAACATCCCTACAGCCAGGAAGAGAGAAAGCCTGTAACTTTGACCCGGTGTAAAAAGGGCTCTATGGCCAGGGAGTAGAGCATCCCGGACAAAGAGCAGCCCTGTCGGACTCCTCTCTGAGCTTCAAAAGGAGCACACAAACTACCGTTTATCTTCAGTACACTCTCAATGTCCCTGTACAAGACCTGGATCTTGGCTATGAGACCAGAGCTGAACCCAAAAGCTTCCAGCGTCTGCCACAAGTACTGGTGTTCAACTCGGTCAAAAGCCTTCTCTTGGTCTAGAGAAATCAGACCAAGCTCACAGCCCAATGAACCGGAGAGGTCCAAAACATCTCGAATTAGTCACGTTGTCAGTTATCAACCTGCTGGGTACACAGTATGTCTGGTCTACGTGAATGACATGCTCCATCACTTTTCTCAGCCTCGTCGCTAACACTTTGGAAAGCAGCTTGTAGTCGGTACAGAGTAGAGACACAGGACGCCAGTTCTTAATCTCCTGCAGGTCTCCTTTCTTAGGGAGGAGAGTGAGCACAGCTTTCCTGCAACTCAGAGGCTACCTCCCGTTACTTAGACTGTCTCTGAGCACACTCAGCAGGTCGTCACCTATAACTGGCCAGAGAGCCTTATAGAAGTCTGCAGGCAGGCCGTCTATGCCAGGAGCCTTCCCACTCTGCATGCTCTGCAGGGCCTCCTGCAACTCCTGGGCAGAGAGCTCCGCCTCCAGCTCAGCATGGTCCTCCTCAGGGACGTTAGGAAGGCCCTCATAGAACGACTGCGCCACCTCTGGTTCGGCCTGGAACTCTGTTCTGTAGAGCTCTTTGTAGAACTCCACAGCACACTGAGGAGGCGGACTCCTGAAGCAGCTGCCCAGCATTGGATCGCAGGGAGTGCATCAGCCTCCTCTGACTATTCTTACGCTCGAGACCAAAGAACAAGTGAGAGGGAGCATCCATTTTCACGATGTTCTGAAACCGGGATCTGAGCAGAGCACCCTGAGCAGAAAACCCCAGCAGGTCAGACAGAGCTGAGCTTTTACTTTTGAAAACTTCAACATGTTCTCGCTCTCCTGTGGAGTCTGCCAATCCCTGCAGCTCCACCACTTCTCTCTCCAGAGCTCTCAGAGATCTAGCCATGTCCTTTGTGACATTGAAAGTGTACTGTTGGCAAAGCTGCTTGATCTTCACTTTACCTACATCCCACCACTGCTGAAGAGAATTGTACTCTCTCTTAGACAAACGGTAGTTTTCCCAAAAGAATTTAAAAACATTTTTAAAATGGTTGTCGGCCAACAGAGAAGCATTAAAGTGCCAATACGCACTATTACACTTAACATGATTAATAAAAAGTGAGACTTGTACGAGGGAATGGTCAGAGATTCCCACTGGACTGATGGAGCAGCTTCTGCTTACATTAATGTGATGGTTAAAAACATAGACACGATCCAGCCTAGCCAGAGACAACAGGTTATCCCTAGAGTGCACCCACGTGTGCTGCCGCTGGCCCGGGTGGAAGTGCCTCCAAACATCACACAGCTCAAAGCTTTCTGTTAGTCTCATGAAGGCACTCTTCGAGGCCGCATGTGGTTCCTGGTGGTTCCTATCCAGCACAGGGTTCTCTGTTGAAGTCACCCCCCAGGAACAGATACTCCCCACTATCACAGGTGCTAAGAGTGTGTTTCAGTTCCTCACAAAACAAAAGCCTCTCTGCGCCCACACTGGGAGCAGAAACATTTATAAAACATATTTTAACTTTTTCAAATTCAGCATTTATTTTGAGCAAGTGTCCTGATGACCTCATCGACCGTACAGGAGAAGGGTGTAAAGCCCCTCGCAAAGAGAATGGCAACCCCTCCACTATTGCTGCGCTTATGGCTGAAGAAGCCCCCCCCCCATCCCCTCCTCCAGTCACTCTCGTTCTCAGCAGTGCTGTGAGTTTGTTTGTTTGTAGCCTTTATTTAACCAGGTGAAGCCCCTTGAGATCAAAAGATCTCTTCTTCAAGGTGACCTGCAGGACATTAGTTACACATGTAACATAAAAACAACAGAACAACAATAAGGATGACAAACAACATAATGTACAGGGTACAGTTTACAAACTCTATTCACAGAGACAGGTACCATGAGTATCACACAGCATGTCACCCAGCCGAGTTTCAAAGTGATGCAGGGGAACCAAAGTGCTCAGTTTGAAACATGTTTGCAGATTGTTCCAATTTAGTGGAGCTGCACAACTAAAAGCTTTCTTCCCTAAGACAGTCCTAGCACTTGGCACATTTAATAAAACCACATCATGCGATCTCAGGCAATATGTACTTTCAATTCGTGGAGAGATCAGAGAGCAGATATAAAAAGGTAGTTTACCCAACATGGCTTTGTAAATGAACATGTACCAGTGACTGAGCCTCCGTACAGTTAGTGAAGGCAGACCTGCCTCGACATACAGGGTACAGTGATGAGTCAGTGCTTTACAGTTAGTGACACATCTCAGTGCGCTGTGATAGGCGGCCTCTAACTTGATCAGGCAATGGGCAGGTGCATTCATATAGATCAGATCACCAGAGTCCAGCACAGGTCAAAGGTCACAGAGCCTTTTCCTGGCCTCAAGCGAGAAACAGGACTTGTTCCTGTAGAAGAAACCTAGCCTAACCCTCAGCTTTTTAAGCAGGTTATTGACATGAAGTTTAAAAGTAAGACAATCATCAAGCCAGATACCAAGGTATTTGTAACTGGTAACCACTTCAAGTACTTGTCCTTGCATAGTAACAATATCTAAAACATGCTCTGTTGTCTTTTTAGCTTTTGAAAAGAGCATTACTTTGGTTTTATCAACATTTAAAAGAAGCTTTAGTTCAGAGAGCTGAGTCTGAATGATGTTAAAAACAGCCTGTAATTTAACAGCAGCCTCCTGAATGGAGGGACCTGCACAGAACATCACGCTATCATCCGCATACAAATGTAAAGTAGCTTCATCCACATTTTCACCTAAACTGTTGATATGGAGAATAAAAGTGGACCTGAAACAGAACCTTGAGGAACACCATTAGCAATGTTTAACCACTCAGAAGACAGCCCATCAAAGTGAACACATTGGGACCTTTCAGAGAGGTAGTTCACAAACCACCCACTGCATGGCTGGATATGCCGATACTGAGTAGCCTCTGCTTTAAGATGTGATGATCGACGGTATCAAACGCTTTGGAAAAGTCAATAAATAGAGCTGCACAACTCTGCTTATCATCTAAAGTACTCGCCACATCATTCACCACTTTCATTGTGGCAGTGATGGTGCTGTGTTGCTTTCTGAAGCCTGACTGATGTTTAGACAGGATGTCATTTATACATAAAAACTCCTTTACCTGTTCACTCACTAGGCGTTCGAGCATCTTCGCCAGAACTGACAACTTAGAGATGGGTCTATAGTTATTTAAAATAGTTGCCTCCCCTCCTTTTAGCAAAGGCAGGACATACGCTGACTTCCATACTGTTGGAATTGTGTTAGTGCTGAGGGAGAGGTTAAAAAGAGTAGTGAGAGGTGGAGCAATACAATCTACAGCTATCTTTAAAAAGAAAGGTTCTACGTTGTCCAGGCCGGCTGGTTTCTTAGGATCTAACTTGGTTAAAGCTTCACGAACAACATTGACATTAAAAGGAGTAAAACTGAAAGGGTTTTCCAGACCACATTGTTCAGAGTCACGGATTGGAGCGTTCACAGAAGCAGAAGCTGAGTTAGTGACAGAATCAAACAGAGAGCCACAAGACACAAAATGCTTATTAAAGCAATTTAGCATAGTGGCCCTGTCTGATATAGAGCCAGATGCTGTGGTGAGGCACGGAGGTAGCTCATTACGGATATCACCGGTGGATATCGATTTTATGGCTTTCCAACATTTCCTAGGATTATTCAGGTTTTCTGTGGAAACTGACAGATAGTACTTTGATTTAGCACTTTTGATTTGAGATGTGAAGCTATTCCTTAGCTGCCTGAAACGCAGCCACTCTACCTCTGAGCCTGATCTCCTAGCCTTTGCCCAGGCCTTGTTTCTCTCATGAAGGAGACTAGACAGAGGGGAGAGAGGGAGAGGGAGGGAGAGAGAGAGAGAGAGATTAGCTCCATGGCATAATGCCGAAACCCGCAAAATAAAGCAAAAGTCGAGACAACTTGAAAGGATATGGCGTTCCACTAAACTTGAAGAATCTCGTTTAATTTGGCATATTACTCTCAATGAATATAAGAAAGCACTGCGTAAAGCGAGAGCAGCCTACTACTCTTCATTAATAGATGAGAATAAGAATAATGCAAGATTTATTTTCAGCACTGTAGCCAGGCTGACAGAAAGCCACAGCTCGATTGAGCCTTCTATTCCCATAGCACTCAGTAGCAATGATTGTATGTGCTTTTTTAACGATAACATTGTTACTCTTAGAAACAAAATTAATGACCTCTTGCCTTTGACCGGTATAGTGTTATCAACAGCTCCCGGAAACGTAAGTTCTAATATTACACTAGATAGTAAACGAGAATGCTTTTCAGCCATAAACCTTGAACAATTAAATTCAATGATTCTCTCTTCTAAACCATCAACGTGTATGTTAGACCCAATTCCAACTAAGCTGTTGAAGGAAGTTTTTCCATTAATTAGCACTTCTTTATTAAATATTATGAATATGTCTTTATTATCAGGCTATGTTCCACAATCATTCAAAGTAGCAGTGATAAAACCGCTTCTTAAAAAGCACAACCTCGATCCAGAGGTTTTAGCCAACTATAGACCTATTTCTAATCTTCCGTTCCTCTCAAACATTCTTGAGAAAGCGGTCGCAAAACAGCTGATTACTTAAAAAACAATGATTTATTTGAAGCTTTTCAGTCTGGCTTTAGAACACATCATAGCACAGAGACAGCTCTGGTTAAAGTCACAAATGACATTCTAATAGCCTCAGACAAGGGACGTGTCTCTATTCTTGTTTTGCTCGATCTCAGTGCTGCATTTGATACTATCGACCATGATATCTTATTGCAAAGACTAGAGCACTTAGTTGGCATACAGGGAACTGCTTTAGACTGGTTTAGGTCCTATCTATCTGAACGCTCTCAGTTTGTACGTGTCAATGATGAATCTTCCATGCAGACCAAAGTTAGCCATGGAGTGCCACAGGGCTCAGTGCTCGGACCTATTTTGTTCACATTATATATGCTTCCGTTAGGCAATATTATAAGGAATCATTCTGTAAACTTTCATTGTTATGCGGATGATACTCAACTATATTTATCAATCAAGCCTGATGAAATTAATCATCTAAATAAAATTCAAGACGGCCTCAAGGACTTAAAAACGTGGATGACCTTAAACTTTTTGATGTTAAACACGACCAAAACTGAAGTTATTGTACTTGGCCCGAAGAATCTACGAAACAAATGATCTAAAGATATACTAACTATGGATGGCATTAATTTGGCCTCCAGTGAGACTGTAAGGAATCTTGGTGTTATATTTGATCAGGATTTATCCTTTAACGCCCACATAAAATCAATTTCAAGGACCGCCTACTTCCATCTACGTAACATTGCAAAATCAGGCATATCTTGCCTCAAAACGATGCAGAGAAACTAGTCCATGCATTTGTTACTTCAAGGCTGGATTATTGTAACTCTTTATTATCAGGGTGTACCAAGAAGTCAGTCAAGTGGCTTCAGCTGATTCAAAATGCTGCAGCTCGTGTACTAACCAGAGTTAGGAAAAGGGACCTACATTACTCCTGTTCTGGCTGCCTTACACTGGCTCCCTATAGAACACAGGATAGAATTTAAAATTCTTCTTCTCGCCTACAAAGCCCTTAATGGGCAGGCGCCATCTTACCTTAAAGAACTCATTATACCCTACTGTCCTACTAGGGCATTGCGTTCCAAGAATGCAGGGTTGTTGGTTGTTCCTAGAGTCTCTAAAAGTACAATGGGAACCAGAGCCTTTTCTTATCAAGCTCCACATTTGTGGAATCAGCTTCCAGTTTGTGTTCGGGCGGCAGACACCCTATCCGTTTTTAAGAGTGCGCTTAAGACCTTCCTTTTTGATAAAGCTTATAGTTAGGGCTGATTAGATTCAGCCCCTAGTTTTGCTGATATAGGCTTAGTTTGTCGGGGGACATCTTACTTCTTCCTTCTCTCTGTCTATACCTGTGTACTCTCATGTTCCCATTAACCCAGCTTCCCCAAATGTCTTTCTTTTTGGTGTCTATATACGCCGGGATCCGGAGTCATGGATGATCCTGCGGTCCTGTGCCCTGGATCTTGAGTCGTGGCTGTGGTCCTGGATCATAGGTCCTGGATGGATATCCTTGTGGATTCATCTTCCTATTATACACACATGCATTTCCAAACATTTGGACTACCTATGTTGCAAATGTATTATCTTTTCAATTTCCACACGGCATCTATTGCACGTCTGTCCGTCCTGGGAGAGGGATCCCTCCTCTGTTGCTCTCCCTGAGCTTTCTCCCATGTCCCCTTTAAACTGTGGGTTTTCTCCGGAAGTGTTTCCTTGTACGATGTGAGGGTCTAAGGACAGAGGGTCTAAGGACAGAGGGTCTAAGGACAGAGGGTGTCGTATTGTCATACTGATATTCTGTACAAACTGTGAAGTCCACTGAGACAAATGTAACATTTGTGATATTGGGCTATAAATAAACATTGATTGATTGATTCGGATAATTATAATTATTCACAAACTGACATTTTTCCGATTGATCAGGAACTGAATCCGAGTTCTCACTGTTTTTTCACGTGATGAAAGCTGTTTGAACTGTAGTACCTCCCTCTCTCCTCAGACGGAGAAGTTCTGCGGGGCTGTTCCCTCGGACCCCTCCCCCCCTTCAGAGGAGCAGCAGGAGGAACACGAGAACATGAAGAACCTCTTGATCTGCAGAACCTCCGAGTCCGGAAACCTGAGGAGGAGCCGGGCCGTCCGCAGTGAGAAACACCTTATACACTCTGGGTCTGGTTCTGGTTCTGATACTAACTCTAACTCTGGTTCTGACTCCGGTACTAACTCTGGTTCTGGTTCTAACTCCTTTAAGGTTCTAACCCAGGTTCTCTCTCTCTATCTGCAGATATGGGTCGGGTCAGTCCCTCTCAGATGTCAGCGGGTCGGGAGGACGGTTCCGGTTGTCCTGACGACGCTACAGACGAAATAATGGACCGGCTGGTGAAGTCCGTGACCCAGAACCCGGCCGACAGGCCCGCCAGTCCCAAGAACCGCAAACGCTCCCGGGTCAACAGGAAGTCCAGTGAGTCCTCTTCTGTTCCCCGATAGATCAGAGAAGACTTTATTCATCCTGAAGGAAGCTGTTGTTCCAGTAACACACTGAACACACACTGAACACACACTGAACACACACTGAACACACACTGAACACAACATAATTTACTTATGTTGTGGCAGATATTTCAGTAAGCTTTCTTAACGCTAATGTTATAATAGTCAGATTGCTCTGAAGATGGAGCTGATATTCTATTCATGTTCACGTTCACACAGTCGCTGATTGTTGCCGGCCGTCTTTCCTGCAACGGCAGCTTTTCTGTATTTCCTTTCTCCTGTAATATGACTGGATCGCTTTAAACTCCGCACACTGAGCTCTGATTGGTCAGCAGGCGGTGCTTTCACTGAGTTGAGCTCTAACGGACCACTATTGCGGTAAGCATGTTGTAACTTCCGGTTGTTGTCATCTCCGGGTATCCCGTGTGCCCGTTCTGCTGCTGATAGCTTATTATCTTAACTTAATCGATCGTTTTAAAACTCTTGATCACGGCAACTGCCTGACGTTGTAATCACACGTTACTATAACTTAAGCTCTCACAACTCTCCTTCTCTTAGCGACTGTAACTCCACAGTTGCCTACACTCTTTTCGGGTTTGCTCACGGTAGCTACTTTAGCTTGATAGCTAGCCATGGCTCTTTCCCCACCCTCGGGTGCTATTTCCTGCTCTAACTGTCTCATGTTTGGTTACTTCCCTGCCTCCTTTACTGGTACCGGTACATGTGTTAAATGTAGTATAGTTGTTAGGTTGGAGGCGGGAATCATAGCCATAGAAGCCCGGCTCCGCATCTTAGAAAGAAACTCAGCTACAGTAAAGCCCATGTTAGCCGGTGCGGACCGGCAAAAGGTAGCTCCTATTAGCCGTCCCCCGGCAACTCCCGAGCAGCAGGGAGACTGGGTGACTGTTCAGAAGGGGCATAACGCGAAACCCGCAGGTCCCCACCAACCCGTTCACGTATCTAACAGATATTCCCCACTCAGCGAGACACCCGCTGAGAAGCCAACTCTGGTTATTGGTAGCTCTATTATGAGACACGTGAAATTAGAGACCGAAGCCTCCACAGTCACATGCATTCCGGGGGCCAGAGCGGGCGACGTTGAGGCGCATCTTAAACTGCTGGCTAAAAATAAACGTAAATACAGTAGGATTGTTATTCACGTCGGTGGTAATGATGTTCGTATACGCCAATCAGAATGCACCAAACTTAATGTGGAGTCGGTGTGTAGTTATGCTAAAACAATGTCGGACAGCGTAATCTTCTCTGGTCCCCTCCCCAATCTGATCAATGATGACATACAGGGTCGGCTCTAGAACAAATCGAATGGGGGGGGAAATCATTTACCAAGGGGGGGCACACACTGCCGTCAACAACCAACACACAAACACCAACGCAACTTCAATTTCAAAAAACATGCTGTAAAGTCTATTGTCTTTCACACACATTGCAGGGGTGTAGTGCTATTGTATAGCGCACATATGACTTGTGCATACATGCACGGTTGTGGCACGACCACAAAAACAGAAACATATAAGGACAGAGGGTGTCGTTTTCTCATACTGATATTCTGCACAAACTGTGCTGTTGTATTTGCTGTAAAGTGTCTTTACTGTAGGTTATTTTGTATTATACTGTATATACAGCACTTTGGCTCGACCAAAAATCGTTGACAAATTTGCTATATAAATAAAACTTGATTTGATTTGATATGGACATAGGCCATCATATAAAAAGTGTGCAAATGTATTTAGTATCCTATCCATGTGAACATGTTTTAGGTGGGGGGGGACCTAACCTCCTCTAGGAGGGTCTGGGGGCATGCTCCCCCGGGAAGATTATTTTTTAAATATGGAAGTTAAATGCATCAATCTGGTGCACTTTGAGAGCAAAATGAAGAGATCTATGGATAGCCTACATCTCTCAGCATTCCATATTAAACAGAACTGTACACAGATTTACTTTTTCTTTATGGATATTTTACTAATCACTCCCCTTTTAAACTGTATTCTTGTGTTACTGTCCTATAGTATTTCATACCCATTTTTCATTTATTCTCTTTAATAACTATAATGATCATATAAAGGTATTCCTCGAAAATACTTGTTTACATAAATGGTGACCAAACCGTTTGAGACCCACTGAGATAACTTACACTAAAGTGAACTATCTAAACACTGAGAGAGTCCTTACCTCACTGAGCTGAAGTTATAAGATCCTCTCAGTCTGACAGGAGAGGACTCTCCTCCACCTTGGTGTAGAAACAGCCCTTTATATCCGTTAGCATAGCTAGCTAACCAGATGCTAACAACAACATTCGGCGTTACCACTTGTGCACTCACAAAATGCGCTCGTGCCACACACACACACACACAGAGCCGAGCTTGAATGAAACACAGAGACCCATGTACTTCTACTGTAGTGTATCATATTATTTTCGATGGCTTTACTGTATAATCAATGTAACAGATGAACAGATCGCCACTGGGCTTTCATCTAAACACACAGCCACGTAATGATAACAAAAAAAAGGTCGGGGGTCATTGGTCAAGCAACACACCAATCAGAGAGCAGCAGTGAGCACAGCTCAGGCTGTGTTTTATATTTGTATTCTTTATTTCTGATGTATTTCACACAAAAAACCTTTAGTGGAAACGTTTTCACTTATATGATTAAAAAAAGAAAAAAACGGCAAAGTGGCAAGGCTTGCCCACCCTGCTTTGGGGGGGCACAGTGACTCATTTGGGGGGGCATGGCCCGCGAATGACCCCCCATGACGCCGACCCTGATGACATGTATAGCCGCATGTCATCATTTCAGCGCTGGTTGTCTTGGTGGTGCCCAGCAAACAATGTGGGCTTCGTAAATAATTGGACAGCCTTCTGGGGAAAACCTGGTCTGATTAAGAGAGACGGCATTCATCCTACTTTGGAAGGTGCACATCTCATTTCGGCAAACATTTCAGGGCTTTGTGGACTTAATCCATGACAAACTGGAGTTGAGACCAGGAGGCGGAGTCGCAGTCTTACACGCTTCTCTGCGCTCTCTCCTAGGCAGTCATCCATAGGAATCCCGAACCCAATAAAATACCCAATATTAGCGGTGTGTGTGTCTGCCCAAGGACAAGTTAAGGTAAAACCTAATAGAGGTGTCATACATAATAACCTAATAAAAGTAAATGTAACAACTACTACAGTGCAACTAAACAGGAAGATTAAATGTGGACTCTTAAACATAAGATCTCTAGCATCTAAAGCAATATTGGTAAATGATTTAATATCAGATTATAATATTGATATATGCTGTCTCACTGAAACTTGGTTGAGACATGAAGAATATGTCAGCATAAATGAGGCCACTCCACCCAGCCATATCAATACTCATATTGCCCGAGGCACGGGCCGAGGAGGTGGAGTTGCAGCCATCTTTGACTCAAGTTTACTTATCAATACTAAACCAAAATTAAATTATACCTCCTTTGAAAGTCTCGTTTTTAGTCTTACGCATCCGACCTGGAAAACTTTGCAGCCAATCTTATTTGTTACAGTGTACCGTGCACCAGGTCCTTATTCAGAATTCTTATCTGAATTCTCTGAGTTTTTATCAACTTTGGTTCTTAAAACAGATAAAGTAATTATCGTAGGTGACTTTAATATTCATGTTGACGATGATAAAAATAGCCTTACTGTTGCATTTAACTCTATATTAGATTCTGTTGGTTTCTGTCAGAGTGTAAATAAACCAACCCACTGCTATAATCACACTCTCGACCTTGTTCTGACTTATGGTATTGAAATTGAGCAACTATTAGTCGAACCGCATAATCCTGCTTTATCCGACCATTTCTTAGTAACTTTTGAAGTACTGTTACGAGACTACAAAGCATTAGTCAAAAGCTCCTGCAGCAGAAACCTATCTGTTAGTGCTATAGCCACATTTAAGGAAGAGATTCCACCAATACTTAACTCGATAGCATGTCTGCATGTAAGGGAGGAAACTTATACAAAATGTACACCACCCCAAATTGATCATGTTGTTGATAGTGCTACAGATGCGCTGCGAATAAAATTAGACTCTGTTGCTCCTTTGAAAAAGAAGAAAATAAAACAACATAGATTAGCTCCATGGCATAATGCCCAAACCCGCAAAATAAAGCAAAAGTCGAGACAACTTGAAAGGATATGGCGTTCCACTAAACTTGAAGAATCTCGTTTGATTTGGCATATTACTCTCAATGAATATAAGAAAGCACTGCGTAAAGCGAGAGCAGCCTACTACTCTTCATTAATAGATGAGAATAAGAATAATGCAAGATTTCTTTTCAGCACTGTAGCCAGGCTGACAGAGAGCCACAGCTCGATTGAGCCTTCTATTCCCATAGCACTCAGTAGCAATGATTGTATGTGCTTTTTTAACGATAACATTGTTACTCTTAGAAACAAAATGAATGACCTCTTGCCTTTGACCAGTATAGTGTTATCAACAGCTCCCGGAAACGTAAGTTCTAATATTACACTAGATAGTAAACTAGAATGCTTTTCAGCCATAAACCTTGAACAATTAAATTCAATGATTCTCTCTTCTAAACCATCAACGTGTATGTTAGACCCAATTCCAACTAAGCTGTTGAAGGAAGTTTTTCCATTAATTAGCACTTATTTATTAAATATTATGAATATGTCTTTATTATCAGGCTATGTTCCACAATCATTCAAAGTAGCAGTGATAAAACCTCTTCTTAAAAAGCACAACCTCGATCCAGAGGTTTTAGCCAACTATAGACCTATTTCTAATCTTCCGTTCCTCTCAAAGATTCTTGAGAAAGCGGTCGCAAAACAGCTGATTACTTAAAAAACAATGATTTATCTGAAGATGTTCAGTCTGGCTTTAGAACACATCATAGCACAGAGACAGCTCTGGTTAATGTCACAAATGACATTCTAATAGCTTCTGACAAGGGACGTGTCTCTATTCTTGTTTTGCTCGATCTCAGTGCTGCATTTGATACTATCGACCATGATATCTTATTGCAAAGACTAGAGCACTTAGTTGGCATACAGGGAACTGCTTTAGACTGGTTTAGGTCCTATCTATCTGAACGCTCTCAGTTTGTACGTGTCAATGATGAATCTTCCACGCAAACCAAAGCTAGCCAT